ATGAAACTAGAGATACATTGAATAAATTATACAATAACTCTAGATTCTATGATTAAAAATATTTGGAAATTAAATGACTGATAGATTTCAAAGTGGGCTATCATTATATGTAAAAAAAAAAATTAAGGCAGATTTTCAAAATTATCATTACAGGTCAAATACTACTCAAATCTTTACATTAAATATATTTCAAGATAATCAGAAGGTGCTCTATATAGTGCTCAAGGCTCAGGACTATTGAACCTGTTTTGTTGTTATCTGAAAGTTTTACCATTTTCGCTGAAATGCACCCATATGATAGCATAAAACATATAGATCGTCGTTGAATCCATGGATTCTCTCTGCTGCCAAACAGGGGCCGGGGTGGTTCCGACGGAGAGCAGCTGTGCGTATGAAGTGTGCTTGTTCTTGGAAATATCATACTTCCTTTTGTCAGGCACAGTTGTGAGGGGCAAGCTTCACTCTTGAAATCGGTGCCTCAAGCCAAAATATAGATGGACCTCATGACTCCCTCGAGCCCAAAGCTGAGCCGCTAGGAGCTTGCGCCCATTAGGGAATGTTCGTGCAGTTGAGGAAAACCTGAGCCTTGATGATTGACCACACTTGTACGAGTACAGTACAGTACTGTACGATGTGCCAAGAGGCCGACGACACATGTATGAATGGAATTGCATGTAACAACCCAAACCGTGCCACTCCGTGCTTTAGGCTCGATATACCCTAAAGCTATAAAAATACTTTCAGATATGATATCTCCCGAGGTGCCCACAGGTTACCGAGGAACCGTTGGCTATGGTACTGTACTACCGGTACAGCAGGAAATATCGCAATGTTAAAGTCCAATGAAAGCGCCAAGCAGGGCCATCCCCCCAAACGAAATGGTCCAAAATGCGCCAAGACCAAGGTCCCAAGCATGGGTCTCTCGACAATTCCTCTACCAGTTTGTATGTACTCGTAGAGTTCCAAAAGGTGGGAAAGTGATATCCGGGGGAATTGCTTCGTATGGGTGAAGATTTGGCCCGGATCGCTTCACTTAACCAGTACCGGTATGGTTGGAAGGCCGTGAAGGTCGCTGTCTTCGGTGGAAAGCATCTATGATATCATACACCGCCCATCTTTTTTTCTTTGCCGCCAACCTCGTACGAGCAAGTCACAGGATGATGCTGTAGTCTAACTTGTTGTATGGGCACTGTACGAGTACGGTAGTTGAGAGTGTTCACGTGTAAAGCCCCGATAGCACGGTAGTGCCTGCTATGATTACATAATTCCAACGGGAGAAGGGCCTACGGTACCGGTAAGGTGATTTGCTTGCCGAGGTCATCGAAGCTGCTACTCGTACTCGTACATACCGCCAACGTCCCACAACCCGGAACAACTCTCCACCCGCCCGCCACGTCGAGGAATATCAGTCAGAATATCCTCCCCCCTCATTCTCAGCAAGCCCGGACCAAAATTTGCTGTTCTAGTGCCAGACAGACCCCTCCGTTCCATTATTGGGAAATACTGACCCAAGTTTCGTTTCTCCGTTCATCACCAGTCCCCTTCCTTCTCGCGTCGCACTCATTGCCCCTTTCCCACAAAATATCTCCAACCTCACAATATGGGTACCTACAAGCCCAATACTCTACCGTTAATCCCGCTCCCGTACTCTGCTGTTCTCTTTCCCGGCGTCATCCGTAAGTTGGCCTGTGCACCCCCGATAGGAACACAGCTGACAATGCCCCCTTTACCCGTAGTTCGCATCTTCGTTTCCGACCGCCAGGACATCACCGCTTTGCTTGCTAAGCTCTCCAACAACAACACTACGCCGCTCAATTCTTCCAGTCTACGAATAGGGTGTATCCCGCTGAAGCCGCCGACGCCTGTCAGCCCGCCGATCGCCAAGACGGACGACGACAAGAAGCGAATAATTGAGGAGGAAGGCGATGAGGTCGAGGAAACTCAGCTGGCATTCTTAAACATCGACCCGTCCTCAGCCACGCCGGAGGAATTATTCTCGCACGGTACCACGGCCCGGGTGGTCGGTGTGGAGGGCCACTCGCGCGTGGACTCGTTCGGCACTCGTGGGCCCAATGGGCAGAATGGAATCGCTCTTGTGGTGGAGGGGGTTTCCAGGTTTAGGGTCAAGCAGTTTCTACAACGCACTCCCTTCATCGAGGCAGACGTGGAGAACTTTGTCGATCCGCCCGTGCAAAAGTCCGATGTTCCCACGCATTCCTATTTCACCCAGCTCAAAACCTTGAGCAGGGAGCTCGTTTCCTTACTCCAGATGAACTCTTCCAGAGGTGTGGGATTACCACCGTTGGTCGCCAGGCGGTTAGAGCTCTTAATCGCCGAGAAAAAGCTCTGCGATGCCGGATCCTTGGCGGATTTTATGGTTTCCGCTGTAGAAACTACACTCGCCGAGCGTTTGCGGATCCTCTCGGCCGTTGATGTCCCGGAAAGGTTGGAGAAGGCGGTCACCGTACTTACCAGGCAGGTTAATAAGATCAAGTCAATTATTACCAGGAGCAATAAGATTCCTCCTCCTCCGCTTATCGTCATGGATAGAAGGGATGGCCTACCGGGCCTTCCGCCAAGGAGCGCGAAAAGGAGTCCTGGTTTTGGGGACATGGATGAGGATGGAGAGAATGACGAGGAACTGGACGAACTGTCCAGGAAGATTGAGGAAGCCAAGCTAAGTCCAGAAGCACTGAAGCTTGCACGGAGGGAAATGCAGAGGCTGAGAAGAATGAGTCCTGTCCAGGCTGAATACGGTGTGTGTAGAACATATTTGGAGACTCTATCAGAGGTAAGCCTTTTTTTTCTTTCTTTCTTCTGTGTATTTCCCTCGGTAGATGCAGCATCTCGGGGGCGCACCGGCAAAGTGATTTTCCACACTCTAGAAATCGAGTCATTTCCGGTGATGCGAATCATATCCTAAGCACCATGAGCTTGATGGTACTCGCCCACACCGAGAAATGACTTCCCTCACTGAATAATTCCATGGATGCATCCCCCGGCCAAAGGTCAGCAACTCGGTGGAATCCCGCCGGACGCCTAAAGCTCTCATCGATAACCACAATGCAACCGGCATTCAGGCTCGACCAATTCCTGGGGATCGCCCAATCTTCGTTATGATAATTGTGTGGTCACTGCCATGGGCTGAGAGAGATGAGGGCGTATGCCCCGGATTTCTGTTTAAGCATAGAATTGGAGTATCATGAGAAAAACTGGCTCCTCCTCTGGAGCATCCAATTGTAGTTCCGATCCCTTTGGCATCACCTCTCACAACAATGCGTGTTACGGATATCACTCGTAATTAATATATCCGGTTACAATGTAATCTTGCTACAAACGAGTGATAGAGAGATTTACTTTATGACTATTCACCAACTACCTTCTTTCACCCCCCCCCCTAAAACCCATGGAGTAGTTAATAGCAGTTTTTTCTGATGCTAACCAATGGCTCATGAATGTTTAGATACCGTGGTCAATAACTACCGAAGACCAGCTGGATGCCACAACCCTTGCAAGGGCAAGAAAGCAACTTAACGATGATCATTACGGGCTTGAAACCGTCAAGAAGCGGCTTCTCGAGTACCTAGCAGTTCTCCGTCTGAAGCGTCAAGTCAACTTGGAAACCGAGGCCGCAGCAAAGGCTGTCGAAGACCAAGCCAGGAAACTTGAAGAAAATGTCCCCAAGGAGGGCGAGGAGACCCAGCTGATAAAGTCTCCGGCTCCTAAGAGAGATGAGCCGGTGGTGGTGAGGAAGCCCCTGGTCGACAAATCGCCAATTCTGTTACTCGTGGGACCCCCGGGAGTCGGAAAGACAAGTCTTGCGCGTAGTGTGGCCGCTGCTCTAGGACGAAAGTTCCACCGGATCAGTTTAGGAGGTGTGAGAGATGAAGCAGAAATTAGGGGTCACCGCAGGACCTATGTTGCCGCTATGCCTGGTCTGATAGTTAATGCGTTGAAGAAAGTTGGGGTAGCGAATCCGGTAATATTGTTGGGTGAGTTCGAGGGAATTTCAGATGACCCTTCTTTCTCCACCCTAATATCGGGACTTTTTTGAGCCTTTCTAGGCACCTTCCCAAGTTTACTCCACCTACCAGCCATGGAATAAACGCTAACCCTAAATCCGCAGATGAGATCGACAAAATCGGAGGAGCCAACTTTCATGGGGACCCGAGTGCAGCAATGTTGGAAGTTCTTGATCCGGAGCAGAATTGGAGCTTCACCGATCACTATATCGGCATCCCTATCGATCTATCCAAAGTGGTATGTTTCCCGCTCTCCCCGACAACATTTCATTCTATCATTTTACTTTCTTGCTCGCCGCTTTCTCTCATTGGAGATGGAGAGAGAGATAGAAAGAGGAAGAGAAAAAGGGAAAAATAATATACCTTGCTCTTCCTACCCGAGATGTCAAAAAGAGCTCCCCTGTTTCCCGGCTCTGGGGCTCTCACTCTCTCACTCTGTCTTTTTCCCTCTCTCTTTGAACCATTTGGTATGTTCTCAGTGGTTTGATTGCTTGCCTCGTTTATTCACCTCCCCCTCCTAACCTTTGCCCATCCCCACATGTCATCAACCCAACCTCCGGCCCCATGGTCACTTTAACATTTAACCCCCTACATTTCATGTCCCCCCTTTTCATCCTCACTCCTTCCCCCTTGCATTCCCCGCCCTTGTCCCATAGTCTTTATTTTCCCACCCTCTCCATTTGATTTTAATTATTATTATTTCAATTTTCCGCACGCGAGGGTTCTGGGGGGTTGGCTCGAAAGGCACTTGCGCCCCACCCCATTACCCCCTGCCTCGCGGTGCTCATACAACTGTCACTTTCGACCGGAGAAGCGAGCGGAGAATAATTTCTTGAAATTATCACGTTCCTTATGAGGCAACACACCATCTCCTTGCCCCACCCCACCTACCCCCCTGAACTTGCTTGCATTTGATTCCTGCTCCTCTTCACCCCTCCTCGCTCCCTTATCGTAGTACCGGCCTCGCCCTCCGAATTTCCCCTAATGCTCGCGTGTCCGGGAAGAGTTTGCGGGGAGCCGCCGCCAGTCTATTTTTTGTTTTAAAAATATTTTCCGTTGCTGGCGAGATTTTGTACTTCCCTGATCCTGGGCTAATATTGATAATTGGGTAATACCAGCTCTTCATCGCGACAGCAAATTCCGTGGACACTATTCCGCCACCACTCCTCGATCGCATGGAGAGGATCCGGTTGAGCGGGTACACATCCCTAGAAAAAATGCATATTGCATCCCAGTACCTTATTCCTAAACAGTTGCAATCTAATGGTCTAGCCGCTGGCCAGGTCGAGCTGCCGGCCGACGTGCTGTCAAAGATCATAACGTCGTACACGAGGGAATCGGGTGTCAGAAACCTAGAGAGGGAAATAGGGAGCGTCTGCCGAGCCAAAGCAGTTGAATACGCCGAAGCCAAGGATGCTCATAAGGAAGAGTCGTACAAGTCCAGGGTTGAGATCTCGGAGCTCGAGGGCATACTCGGGATTGAAAAGTATTACTCGGAGATTGCTGAACGGAGCAACAAGCCCGGTGTCGTGACGGGATTGGTTGCTTTCAGTACCGGCGGCATCGGTTCTATATTATTTATAGAAAGCGAGCAGATGCCGGGTAGCGGAAGGCTGCAGTTGACGGGGAAATTGGGCGAAGTAATCAAAGGTTCGTCCCATGTTTTAGATTCCCTCTCCACCAATCAAGTGGTGATTACACCAAATGCACAACAAATCACAACGCATGAAGAACCTAACCGATTGACAACTCTTTTTCTTGTCCAACCCACCACACAGAAAGCGTTGAAGTAGCATTAACCTGGGTGAAAGCCCATGCCTACGTCCTGGGACTTACGAACCATCCGGACGAGGATCTTACGAAGAACAGGAACGTGCACGTGCATTGTCCTGCAGGCGCGGTGCCGAAGGTTAGCTTTTGCGATTTGTTGACTCGCAGCTTATCGATCCTCCAATTCCTTCCCTCCCGTGAGGCAATTATCAGCTGACTTTTTTATCACGGCAGGATGGTCCGAGCGCAGGTGTTGCCTTCACGATCGCCATGATATCGATGTTTTCCGGCCGTCGAGTATCACCCACGCTTGCTATGACAGGCGAAGTTTCTCTCCGAGGAAGAGTCACCCCCGTGGGTGCGTTACCAAAACTTATCCCCCTATCCAATTATACCTTCAAAGCACCCTCACCGGAAGGAGTCAACTTCAGCTAACCTGAATTATTGTTATTTTTCGCAGGCGGGATCAAGGAAAAATTGATAGGAGCGCTAACTGCCGGCGTAAAGACGGTGCTTTTGCCTGTGCACAACAGGAAGGAAGTACGTGAGCTCCCTGAGGAAGTCAAGAATGGGCTCGAGATAATCTATGTGAGGTAAGCGACGAAACCCTATTTGAGCCCATGACAAGTCGTAACCGAGATGTGGAATCTTTGCTGATATTGTCCACGGCTTGTCCTTGTAGGAGCGTATGGGAGGCGCTTAAGCACGGTATGCACCTCCCTGTTCTACCTATTCTCCTTCCGGAAACTAACTGAGTTGTAGTCTGGCCCGAGTGGACCGTTGGTGAAGAAAACATGGCGTTCGAAAGTCGACTATGATTGACTGCGGCAGGATATTACAATAGGCGGGGAGTAGTGCGTCTTACCTGCTTTGAATGAGTCCTGTATTCCACTGAATTGTGGTTTATCTGCATCCCTTCCATTAGCTTTGTCACATTGCATGTCTAACTCGCCTCCCGATCTTGCTTTTTCACTTATTCATTTATTTTCCTCCCTTGTATTCTCCCGCGCCTTCCATGTCATAACATCTCATATCATAACATCCACTCAAATACCCTATCACCCGATCCCTCAATTGGTGATGACGATGACATTATTATTATTATTACAGCCTGGTATATAAATTTTAAAACTCTCCGATCCCTTCCTTTCCTCCCCCACCCCCGGCCCCCCGTCGTTCTCGCATCTTCACCGCTCCTCACGGGCATTTTCAGTGGAAGCACGGTATGGCGTTGCCGCTCATCGGAATAACCACCGTAGAAAGGTAACACCAGCGTACCCCATACACAGTTCAACACCTGGGCTGCCATTGTCACCTGTCCAGTCGACAGCCGTGGACCATGTAGACGGGGATGGGAGGCGAGTATTACGGGGGGGGGCATGTGGTGAAGGACAGTTTACCCGTTGGGTGCGGTATGCTCCTCAACCACCCTTACAGCAGAGCATGATACAGCACTTGTACCATACAGCAGGAGTGCGCCATCCCATCGCGTCGATTTCCTCGCTTACTCACGATGCTGTATTAAGATGCCCACGATAAGCAGCCGTACCCAGCCGGTTTGGTAATCCACCCTAGGAAAGAAAACACACACACACATACAACAGGGTTCACCGTTCCTACCTTACCTGTACGGCATTAAATTCATACCGGTATGATACAGTACGGTAATCCCCACTTTTCACCTTCAGTCCCATATTCCGTGCACACACATACAGTAAAACATGCACACACGCACACATGCATACATGAACCCGACGTCAATGCCAGATTACCCTGCCGCACCGAACCCAACGTACGGTAAGTACCGATACGGCATTTATCCCATCTACGGTAGCGACTCTCTCTCTCTCCCTCCTTCTCTATCTATCTATCTATCTTCCGCGCAGTTCGTACATTTGAGAAGGGTATGATACAGCACGTATGATATATATAAAAGGTCAGTCAGTTCAGTAAGGGCAAGCAAGTAAGTACCATACTAGTACAGTACAGTACCCGCCCAAGGACTCGCTAGGTATGATTATGATACCCCATAACAAAGGAGAAAGTACTTGTGCAGTGCCGTATTATGATATACCGCCTATAAGTTAAGTAAAAGCCTTCTCGGAGGAGAAATCGCAACTCCCCGTAACCTCCCTGGCTGGCTCCCAACAACCAGAGACACACACACGCACGCACACACACCGACACCGACAGACACACCGATTCCTCCTCCTCCTCCTTCTCCCAAAGTCAGTCAATCGCCACCCGGTTCTTGAGCGATAAAGTCCAGTCACCATAATATCAATAACACACAAACCCCAACTTATGATACCGGAGGTGAGGAGGAAGGAGCACAAGTGCGATACAATAATTGCCGTGTTCGCCGCCACTGGCGGCTATATCAGTTACCATATCATACAAGTATGATACAGTAACATCACCTTTGATTTTCTTGATTATTTTTTTGGCGAGTATCATTCTGTACGAGTACCGGTACTCGAGTCTTCGTACTGTATCATAAGTTACAGTGTCGTACCGTGACAAACCAAGTTATGACATTACCCAATCTCTCTTAATCCCTGTTTTCCGGGTACGGTGCGGTAACTAACAGTATATCTATCTATCTATCTATCTATCTATCTATCTGTCTATCTATCATGCCTCCTCTTCTTGCCCGGGATAGAATAGAACAGGACAGGACAAGACAGGCAGGTACGGGTACGGGTGCGGTACCCACACACCACACCACCCCACACCACCCCACCGGCGGGGAAGTGGATATTTGCAGCCGAAGTCTTAAACTTGGGAGGACTGTATGATGGGTACTGTGCAGTACTCGTACAGTACCGGTATCAGACCGCTGTGCCGGCACCCACCGCCTGTGTGGTGTTTCTTGTGGCTTGCTTTGGGGGTATTGATGGGTGGATAGCGGAGCGTAGGAATGCGGGCACGTCTTGTACAGTACTGCACAGTACTGTACGAGTACCGTACGAGTGCAGTGCGGGATACCTAGCCAAAAACCCGGCGATGGGAGCTCTCGATTCCTACTTGTACATCTCAGTGCCACTGCACCGGACACGCAGAGCGGGAATTTGGTGCGTCCTTTTTCTTTCTTTCTTGCCTCTTCTCATTCCTGCACTTGCACTCGCAAAATGGGGTGGAGGGAAAGAGGGAGGTGGGGAGGATAGTTTATTTTCTTCTTCGGGGGATTTGTGCGGACTGATGATCTGCTTTACCGGGCTGGATGGAACTGGTTTTTTTCAGACTCAATGGCCATTGCTTTCTTTTTTTTCCATAGGTTTTTTATTGTCGGGGGGGGTTCTTTTTGGTTTTTACGAGTACTACAATACTGTGCTTTCTTTTGTTGCGCTAGGAGCGTGCTCGCAGGATACCGTATGAGTTGATTATCATGGATGCGCGGATGGAGGTTCCCGTTCCGCCAGATTACTGCGGTTCTTATTCATTTATTCTATTGTTTTGTTTCTATCAGTACCGTAGATTTGGTGATTGGAAAGGGGGGCTCGTTTTCTCTGTTCGGCTTACGTTCACATTTACCATACCGTACCGGTATGTTGCTGACCGTCCCCGGTTTTGCACGCTGATGGGCTGTCACTGCCTCTGGCCGGCTATTAATTAATGCGCTGGTGGTTTTGCGCACGATGCGGTAGGTCGCTAAAAGGTCAAGGTCAAGTGAAAAAAATGAAAAAATGAAAGAAAAGAAAAAGTATGGAGTACTGTACCGTATGGGTAGCAGCGATATGACGATTCGCAATCGTCGCGCGAAAGGCTGCCTTCCACTCCCCGCCCCCCCTCGATCTCTCTATCCGGCCCATTCCTCTCCGTACGGTAACCTTCCGCGCGGGCTCTGATATAATAACACCGTACTGCTATCATAATATCATGAAGAATATGAAATCCTGGAGGGAGGAAAAAAGGAAAATAAAAATAAAAAAAAGCAATGCCGGAAGTTACGGTTGTGAATTCGAGGGAGTGGGTGTGCATGAGTCAAAGTGCCCTTGCACCTACTACCATTGCTCATGGGCGAACGCTGAATGGAGTTCTCCGAGAAATACCGGTAAGAAGGAAATCTCTTGAATCGTGAATTTGTGTCTAAGTGTGTGTGGTTGTGGCAGCTTCAAACTCAACTTGGGCCTATTTTAGCTTTCATTCGTAAGATATGATAACCGGTAAATAGCATCCTGACAAGGCCCGAGGGGATCCCAGTGTCCGAACAACATTCTCTCCGCCCGCCTCCAATTGGATGAGATGCCCTTGTGATATATTATAACAATTATGTCGATCATTAAAAAGGGACGAGACTCGACGGGGAATGAAGGAAGAGGAGGGAAGGGGGACATCCGTGTTTTTTTTACCCGTTTTGTTTTTTTATTTTCCCTTTCGGGCCTTGCTCTGTCAACTTATGATAGTACCGTATCAACTCAAACTGCAAATGCCGAAGAAAAGTGAGCTGCAAGTTAAGTTTCGGTCGCCGCGCCGGGAGAAATAAAACAATAGAAAATCTGCGGTATCATGCCCTGCGCCAAACCATTGCACAGGGTTCGAAAGGTTCCTACGAAGGAACCGGAGAAAGGGCCCAATCGAGGATTTAAGCGCTAACATGACCGGAGAGGTGTTTCTGCAGAGGGTAGAAGTAATGCCAACTGCCAAAGCTACGGAATTGCGTCGGTCTTGTTGAGCTGTCCGGGATATGGTGCTCAAGTACAGTACAGTATATGGAAATGAGGCTAGGTTCTCCTTTCTCGCTGGTTGGGTGCAAGTTGTTGTGCAACGTAACCGTATCTCAAGATACAGTGCTAATTGCAGGATAAAAGCGCGTATGGTGCCGTACTCCTGCTCAGGAAAGAACCTTTAGACCATCCCCAATCATGCGCAAATCAGAGCGCAAAAAAAAAGGGGCGGCGCAAGTCATTTTTGAGGGTTTAAAGCAACACTCAGGGCCCAAGTTAGTTCGCATACCTCTGTCGAACCACACGAGATTGGGCGATTGGCCAAGCCCTTTCCAGTCCTCTGACGGCGGCGGGCAAGGACATATGATAACGCGTGATACCATATGCTGTGCTGTAGCTGCATCTTACAGTACCTGTACCGTATCATACCGTACTTAGTCGCTCAAGTGTCCGGGAAACGGGAAGTCCAGACGAAGGCAATCCTGACAGAAAAAGGGGGGCTCGATCAGCGGGGCAGTTCAAGAGGGAAACGCCGTCGCGGACGAGGGAGTTGAATCTCCTCGCTGTCCATCCGAGGGAACGCAAAGGCCACCAAGCCATTCACCCATCTGTTGTTGTACAAGTTCCGGCGGGGAGGATCCTCGAAAGCAACGGCATGGCAGGCCGGACCAAATAGCCATGAGGAGGCGGTCTTTGGTAAGATATGAGGAATGACATTTTGTGTCTTTGATTACCGTACTAGTATGTTTTTTCTTTCTTTTTTCTTTCCTCCTTCCTCGCGCTATATTACTTTTTTCTTTTTATTCTCCCTTTCCTCAAACCCGACAGTAGATTGAATCTTTAGCTCCTCCCACCTTTCTTCCCACGCCCACGCCCACGCCCACGCTCATCCCCTTGCTGAGTCTGTTCTCTTCTTTCCTTCAGAGTTACTTTTTCACTCCGGCTGATCATGCCGTCCAGAGAATGCTTGGTACAGTACGGTACTCGAGGAGACTACCGGAGGGGGCGGCGCTGGTTTAGCGCATGGCCCTTCTTCCCCACACATGTCGCCATGATTGCCTGGGACGGGAACGGTTTCGGTGACTCGAAGATATACATACCGGTAACGCCCTTTGTATTTGTACCTGGTACGTATTGCACTTGTACACGTACAATACTTGGATTGCTGATGAGGTTTCTCTTGTTTTATCGCCGCTCTCTCTCAAAAGCAAGGTCAAGGCCCCTACAATCCAATCAGATACCGGTAGCCCCCCACTTAACTAGCAGTTTGGCCAAGACAAGCGATTGCCGGATTAGACCTCGCTTCTGTGATTTTTTTTTCGGTAATGTCCATTTTGTTGGTTTTCGGCTGTGGGAAGCGAACTTTGGTAGCGGGACCGGGAATTGGGTTGAGGGAACACTTCTATGTAACCCTCGGTTCGCCAGCCACGTTTTGACGCGCTGCGGAGGTTGCATGTTTTTTTTTTGGTATGA